TATGGGTAGTGCATCCACTGCCAATTATCCATGAGATTTACTCGTTATTACTTGTATGATAAGCCATAAACAACAAATTTGTTTCCTGATTGTTGTCTCTAAAATTTGCTTGTTGCTGTGGATTTTGGACTTGGTTTTGTTTGGCATAACAAAACATCTCCGTATTATCTTCCTTGTTGCAATAGTCATATGGAAGACTTGATTGTTTTTGTACCAACAATCTTTCTCAGCATGGTTTGTCTTTTTATAGAAACGACAAGGAAGAATCGATCTTTGGTTGATTTTTATCATCTTGTGCAGCAGGTTTCTTTCCTTTGGACTTGGCATTAAAGGCACCTTTAACATGCTCCTCGTTACGCATTGTATCCCTCTGTTCTTGCGCTTGTGACTAGCTAATTAACTCAGCTATAGAGAGAGTAGTCATATCAAAAGACTCCTCTATTACTGAGACCTTTGATTCAAATTTGCTATGAACACTAACCATTATTTTCTCCACAACTTTTTGATCTGGAAGATATTCACCCGTTAATCTAATATGGTTGAAAATGGTCATCACATTAGTTGTGTAGTCCCTCAAAAAATCTGAATCTTTAATCTTAAGCATGTCAAACTCCCTTTTAAGAGTTAATAAGTTGGTAGCTTTTACCGTTGCACTTCTCTAAAATTCCTCCTGTAATTTATCCCAAGCATCTTTTGCCGTTTTACAATCGATAATCCTAGCAAATATTGGATCAGATAAAGCGGCATTAATTTCAGAGAAAGCATTAGATTTCTTCAACTTCTCCTCTTCATGCAATCTAATTTGATTCAATGTTGGATTTTTCCCCGATGGGTGAGGATCGGCATCTGTTGAAACTGATTCCTAAAGACGAAGTGCTTTGAGATAGGATTGCATTTTAACAACCTAAAATTTGTAGTTTTTCACCATTAAAGTATGGAGGAAAGAGGTAACACCAAAATTAGAAGACATTATCAAAGAAGAATTTTGAATTTATATCTCTCAAATAAAATAACAGCCCTTTAAATCTAAGGCTCTGATACCACTGTTGAGAAAATGAAAGAGATAAAAAATAATGCGCAAGCAATAGTAAAATTCTCAATGTGTGATGAACAATTATGAAATATGAAATGAATTGTGAGATAGTAGAAAGCAATAGATGAGAAATCAACTTCAAATTGAAGTGATTAAAAAATGTGAATAAAGAAATGAAATAGTATAAATGTTGGTGATACAAACTTCTCATGAAAGTTCACCCTTATATAGGTATACAAAACACATAACTTGAACCAAAATTAAAATGTAGAACCTTACAATTCATAAAAATGAAACTTAAAAGATAAAAAACTGAAAATTAAATCTAACAATTAAAGAAAGAAACATAATGAAATAGAAACTGAAAATTAAACTTATGTTAAAAGAAAAAACTATTAAAGTCATAGCTCAACATGTTCGCGTAGAGAGGAAGGCAGAAATTTTTTAGATTGACCCATTTTAGTGGTGAAAATTAAAATTAGGGTTGAAAAAGTTGGTCAATTTTAATGGCGGGGTGGGCCTGACATTAAAGGCAGACTTACAATGTCAGGCGTATCCCGACATTGAAACATAAAATTTAATGTTTTTTTAATTTTTGCACGTTTTTTATGTTGTCCGACGTTGTTCCCTCCGTGTTTTTTTATTCGACATTAAAACGTAGATGTGTAGTAGTTTTATTTTATCTTTTTCAATTTCAAAATTCAAATTCAAAACCCCAAATTTTACAAAACTAAAACAATTTCACTCGTTTATTCCTACGACCTGGTCTCACTACTCATACAAGTTAAATTTAGCGAATCAGTTATTACTTTGAAGGGCCTCCACATCCCTATCACATACATAGGAGCAACAATTCATTGACAGCAGTGACAACAATGCAATGATAATAATGACAGCCATTGATAGTAGTATAATGACAATAGTGACAACATTGCAATATTCATCATTCTGATGATACAACACAATATAATTTTATAATGAGTTCATTAACATGATTTTAATCTTTGCACTTCATTATTTTATCATAATTAGTCCTACATATGAATATATGGAAGCATAAAAATAGTGACAAATCAAATTGAAGTATATTACTCAATTTCAAAAAAGTTAAAGCATCTAAAAAAGTTGATTTTTAAAAGATGAATAAAATCATAAATTTGACAAGATTCCATGAAGTATAAGTAAACTATTAGTTATTTTGTAGTCTAGCTTAAGAGTTTGAAGGATGGCTAATAGTATCATCTGGACATCTTCTCTAGCGTACATGTCTTATAATTTCCCTTCATTTCATTTGTGTATCTTTAGGTTCACTCTAGTTCCGAAGGCTTTCTTCAACATCGTTACATATGTATTCAACTAAAATTATATACACTCTAAAAACAACAGATATATTTCGTAATATATGTAGTGTATTTAAAACACAAAGCTAAACCATGACATTTTAATCTTTTGAGATCCTAAGGATCCCACATTGATAAACGAAGGGACCTTACACAGGTTTATAATAGACATAGACTACTTTCCAATTGGTTTTGAGATGGAACCCTATGAATATTAATAGATCGAACATGTTATGTTTTTTCCCATTGCACGGAATTGCTCTCAAAAATCCCAAGAAGAACAAAAATAGGTTAGGGATTTCAAAAAAATAATTTTATTATAAAAACCAGACCCTTTAAATTTATTTTTAAACTTCAAGAAGAAGAGTAGTGGTCTTCAACCTAAGATGCCATGAAATAAATGCACGTTCTAGAGAGATTGGTCCGTCTTCTCCACAAAATTATGGTCTACATATGCATTGATTTGTAAAGGTAAGTAAAAATCCACAAGTCTTGCTCCGTGAAGATGTTTCTATCCTGACAAGATTGTTTATCAAAGTTGTTCAGTAGGTGAAGTGATAAGATGATTAAAGAGAATTGCATCTACCTAAGGTTATATCTTGAAGATGGAAAGTAATAATTAATATGGAATGAACGGAATGCTCTTAGAAAGGATGTCGTCGAGCAGGAAACACATCTGCTTGCGAAGGGACGAAGAACTGTAAACGGTTACATCCCACACACAGCTACAGCTGGCAACGCATGTTGTCGATACGATAGGCGCATCTCACAACCCTATCAACATACCCAGAAGGCACAGGTGGCGGAGCCACCCTACTGTTGTTGGAACCATGTTTCCTCCTGTCCAGTCGTACAGTATGTGACGTCCTTGCCACCTCCAACTGTCGTCCTTCCTGGTTGGCCCACTGAGGCTATAAAAGGAAGGACCACCAACCTCACCAAGTAAGTGAAAAACCTGTCACTAACACCTGAGGCATCTTTTTCCTATTGATATTCCGAATACTAACTTGATTGTCGGAGTGTATTAGGCAGGACACCGCATCGGCGTCGAGTTCTTTGATTTCAGGTTCAGTGGATCCAAGGTCAGACCGCTCATCCAGGTACCACGTGACCCTCTACCAAAAACCACCGTCAACAGTTGGCGCCATCAGTGGCGACGACGTTTTCAAGTCTGAAACAAAACCAGTCCTTAGCACTAAGGCATCGTCAGGATGACCTTCGACAAAGAGTCATCCTACGAGAACCTCATCGACAAAGAGCGTCGACGCGACAAAGCTATCGAGAAACTTGTCCTGACTC